ATGTCATCATCGATTTCTTTCAATAATATCCTATAGTTTTCATTGTATACGTCTTGTACCTCCTTGGTTAAATTTATTCCTAGATATTTTATTCTTTTTGTTGCAATTGCAAATTGGATTGTATTCTTGAGTTCTCTTTCTGTTAGTTTGTTATTAGAGCACAGAAACGCACTGATTTTTTATAGGTTAATTTCCTACCCCACAACTTTACTGTAGTTGTTGATTATTTCTAATAGTTTTCCAATGGATTCTTTAGGCTTTTCTATATATAAAATTATGTCATTTGAAAACAGTGAGAGTTTCACTTCTTTATTTCCTATTTGGATTCCTTTTATTCCTTTCTCTTGCCTAATTACTCTGGCCAAAACCTCCAGTACTATGTCGAGTAAGAGTGGTAAGAGTGGGCATCCTTATCCTGTTCCTGTTCTCAGAGGGATGGCATTCAGTTTTTCCCCTTTGAGTATGATGTTGGCTGTGAGTTTGTCATATATGCCCCTTATTATATTGAGGTAATTTCCTTCTATCCCCATTTTGTTAAGAGTTTTTATCATAAATGGCTGTTGGATCTTGTCAAACGCTTTCTCTGCATCTATTGAGATGATCATATGGTTTTTATTCCTCATTTTGTTAATGTGGTGTATCACATCGATTGATTTGCAGATGTTGAATCATCCATGTGTCCCTGGTATAAGTCCTACTTGATCATGGTGTATGATCTTTTTGATATATTGCTGTATGTGGGTTAATGTTTTGTTGAGCATTTTTGCATCTATATTAATCAGTGATATCAACCTGTAGTTTGTCTTTTTTGTGTTGTCTTTGTTAAGCTTTCGTATCAGGGTGATGTTGACCTCATCAAATGTGTTAGGAAATGTTTAGTCTTCCCTAATTGTCTGGAATAGCTTTAGAAGGATAGGTATCAAATCTTTGAATATTTGGTAGAATTCATCAGGGAAGCTATCTGGTCTTGGACTTTTATTCTTTCGGATGCTTTTGATTACTGTTTCAATCTCTTTACTTGTGATTGGTCTATTCAGATTATCTATTTCTTCTTGATTTAGCTTTTGGAGGTTGTAAGACTCTAAGAATTTATCCATTTCTTCTAGATTGTCCAATTTGTTGGCATATAGCTTTTCATAGTATTCTCTTATAATCATTTATATTTCTGTGGTATCCATTGTAGTTTCTCCTCTTTCATTTCTAATTTTCTTTATCTGAGCTTTCTCTCTTTTTCTTTGTAAGACTGGCTAGGGGTTTGTCAATTTTCCTTGTCTTCTCAAAGAACCAGCTCTTTGTTTCATTGAGCCTTTCTACTGTCTTTTTTGTTTCAATAGCATTTATTTCTACTCTGATTTTTGTTATTTCCCTCCTTCTGCTGACTTTGGGCTTTGTTTGTTCTTCTATTTCTCAGTCAGTTAGGTGTAGTGTGAGATAGCTTCTTTGGGATTTTTCTTGTTTGGTAAGGTGAGCCTGTATTCTGACAAATTTCCCTCTTAGTACTGCTTTTGCTGCATCCCGTATAAGTTGGTATGGTATGTTTTCATTTTTGTTTGTCTCCAGGTATTTTTTGATTTCTAATTTAATTTCTTCAATGATATATTGGTTGTTCAGTAGCATGTTGTTTAGTCTCCACAACTTGTCCCTTTCTCAGCTTTTCTCTGTAGTTAATTTCTAGTTTCATAGCATTGTGGTCAGAAAAGATGCCTGTTATTATTTCAATCTTCTTAAACTTATTGAGGCTTGCCTTGTTTCCCAAGACATGGTCTATTCTTGAGAATGTTTCATGCGCACTTGAGAAGAATGTGTATTCTGCTGTTTTTGGATGGAGTGTTCTATATGTGTCTGTTAAGTCCATCTGGTCTAGTTTTTTAGTTTAATTCCACTGTTTCTTTGTTGGCTTTCTGTCTGGATGATCTGTCCATTTATGTGAGTGGGGTGTGGAGGTCCCCTACTTTTATTGTCTTGTTGTTACTGTCTCTTTTTAGGTTTGTTAATAGTTGCTTTATGTACTTTGGTGCTGCTGTGTTGGGTGCATAGATATTTATGTGTTGTGTCTTCTTGATGGAATGTCCCTTTGATCATTATATACTGATATACTGCCCCTCTTTGTCCCTCTCTACCTGTCTTATTGAAGTCTGCTTTGTCTGATATAAGTATTGCAATACCTGCTGTCTTTTGTTTGCCATTAGTTTGGAGTATTGTCTTCCCTCCCTTCACTCTGAGCCGTGTTTGTCATTGGAGCTGAGATGTGTCTCCTGAGGCAGCATATTGTTGAATCTTGTTCTTTAATCCATCTCGCCACTCTGTGTCTTTTGATTGGAGAATTCAATCCATTTAAATTTAGAGTAATTATTGATATATGAGGGCTTGATGTTGCCATTTTATCACTTGTTTTCTGGTTCTCCTGCATTTCCTTTGTTTCTCGTCCCATGTATTTCGGATTTCCAATTCGGTTAGGTAGTTTTTTATGCTGGATTTCTTCGTTTTTGCCTTATTTATTATTTGTGTCCCTGTTCTATGTTTTTGTGTAGTGGTTACCATGAAGTTTGTATGCAAAGTCTCATAGATGAGATAGTCCCTTTTCTGATGGCCCCTTTTTCCTTAGACTTAGCTGATTCAGTCCCTTTCTCTTCCCCTCCTAAGTTGTTTTTCTCACATATTATTCCACCTTGTGAGTTTGTGGTTGAAATGACAAGATTATCTTTGTTTTTGGTGTTTTCCTTCTCTTTATCCTTAATGTTTTACTGGAGTATTTGCTAACCTGTTTTGATGGATAGCTACATTTTCCTGATTTTTGTCTACCTATTTATCTCCTCACTCAGGGCTTTGTAACGCCTTTCTTCTTGTTTTTTCAGCTATGAGGGCCTTCTTGAGGATTTCTTCGGGGGGCTGGGGGGGGGGTGGTCCTTGTGGCAATGAACTCCCTTAGCTTTTGTTTATCTGGGAAAGTTTTTATTTCTCCATTATATCTGAAGGATATTTTTGCTGGCTAGAGTATCCTTGGATGAAAGTTTTGTCCTTCCAAGATTTGAATATATCATTCCACCCTCTCCTAGCCTGTAAGGTTTCTGATGAGAAATCTGCTGAAAACATTATGGGGGTTCCTTTGTAAGTTATTTTCTTCTGCCTTGCTGCCCTTAGTATTTTTTCTTTGTCATTGACTTTTGCCAGCTTCACAACTATATCCCTTTCACTAGATATTTTCACATTGACATATTTAGGAGATCTAGTAGCTTCTTCCACATGGATTTCCAGCTCCTTAACCAGGTTTGGGGGAGTTGTCTGTTATTACTTCTTTGAACAAGATTTCTGCTCCATTCTCCTTCTCTTCTCTCTCTTGAATACCTATAGTCCTTATGTTGCGTTTCCTAATTGAGTTGGATATTTCTTGGAGACTTTTCTTCATTTCTTTTTAGTCTTAGTTCTCTCTCCTCCTCCGTCTGAAGCATTTCCATATTTCTGTCTTCAATGTTGCTGATTCGTTCTTCAAAGATATCAGCTCTATTGTTCAGGGAATCCGTATCCTGCTTTATCTCATCCATTGTGTTTTCATCTTTCATATTTCCGATTTGTTCTTCTTATAGTTTCAATGTCTTTTGTGAAGTAGCTCCTGAACTCGTTGGGTTGTCTATCTGCATTCTGTTTTAACTTGTTGAGTTTTTAAATAGTGATTTTGAATTCTCTATTGTTTAGGTTATAGATTTCTGTGTCCTCAGCATTGATTGCTGGTATTTGTCATTTTCCTTCTAGTCTGGGGATTTAATATATTTTGTTCATATTGCTAGACAGTGTGGATTTGTGCTTCCACGTTGTGGTGGTATTTAATCACTGCTTCCACCTGTCGCCAATGGGTGGGGGTCAAGAGCTGCATATTCTGAGCCCACTGCAATCTGAAGGACAGCTCCCATGTGCTAGGCTGGGGTATCGGGTGGGAGGGAGGGGTGCTTTCTCTCTCCTGCATGATCTCAGGGGCCTCTTGCCCTGTCCTCACTATCTGCTCTCCTGGAGTATTGGCTTGATGAAGACACCCGTGATAGCTAGTCACCTCTGTGGGTGGCTTTCCCTGGGTTGTGAGTGACCTTGGAGATCTATGGCGTTCCCATGGAGGGCTGCCGCTCCCTCCCTGCTTTCCTCCCAGAGGCCATGTGCAGTCCCCGGGTTGCTGTCCTTCCATGAGGAAGAGAAGTGTTCTCTTACCTTGTTCCACTTCCTTGGTGGGGAGGCTCCAGCACCTCCACCTTCTGACCTATGGCTGCATGGGTCTCTCAGATGTCTTTTGTGTTGCATGGGTGTCCTCTGTTGGAATATGAATGTCCTTTGTGTTGTATCTTTGAGGGGAGAATTTACTGGGAGAGCTCACTTTGCCATGATGCTGACATCAGTTGGTGTTTTATTTTTTAATGCAACTTTTGTTACCTCTTCTGATCTTTTTGTCAAGTTACAAAAAAGTACATAAAGGGGCCAGCCTGGTGGCATAGTGATTAAGTTCATGCACTCTGCTTTGGTAGCCCAGAGTTCACTGGTTTGGATCCCAGGTGTGGACCTGTGCACCACTTGCCAAGCCATGCTGTGTCAGGCATCCTACATATAAAATAGTGGAAGATGGGCACAGATGTTAGTTCAGCACCAATCTTCCTCAGCAAAAAGAGGAGGATTGGCAGCAGATGTTAGCTCAGGACTAATCATCCTCAAAAAAAAAAAAGTACATAAAGATTCATAAAGTAAACATACCACCAGAATAAGCATTGTTAACAGGTCATTTACAGAAAGGGCTTGGTGCTTAAATAGATTTAAGAATTCCCGGCATTAGTTTCATCACTCCCCTGGGTTAATCAGGGCTTTTTGAATTGTATATGACAAAAAAAAAAAATACCCTCCTAAAAACACTAATTTGAATAGGTTTGAGAAAAAAAAGTCCTGGAATTTTTTAGCTTATGTAGTCTAAGCAAAGACGGATCTAAAAATGTCATCAGACTCAATTTCTCTTTCTCTCTTCTCAGCTATCTTTTGTATACAGGCTCCTTCCTCAGAGGGGCCCTCGAAAGTCCAGGCTCTATAGTTTCAAGTCCAGCAGAAGGAGATCCTGTCTGCCCCACTGTTCTAATGAAAGTCTTGGGATTGAGTTTCATTGGATTGACTTGGGCTAAGTGTCCACCCTTGAACTGTCACTGTGACCATATGGGACAGAATAAACCAATTGGCCAGGCCTGAGATAGTGTCATCCAAATCACATGGGTTGAAAATGTCCGAGGGGTGGCTCTGTCCTGGAGAATCTGGCGCTGCTTCCAGAAGAAGGAGGAATAGATGCTGCATGAGCAAAGAAGAGTGCGTACTCTGACCAGTTTGCAGCTTGCTGCCATGGACAGTGTATGGGTAAGGGGTCTAATAGACCTGCCTTCCTTTTCTGGCTCAAATATTTAATAATCATGTAACTTTACTTCTTTAAAATCTCTGAGTCTCAGTTTCTTAAACTGTCAAAGAGAGGTGATAATATCCTTATGGAGTTGTTGTGAAGATTAAGTGAAATGATGCATGTGAAAGCACCTAGGAAAATGCCTAATTTCCTTTTTGGTGTTAACCCAAGCTTCTTTGAAGCATCTAGAGGCAAGTTCACCTTTCTTCCAAGAAAAGGTCACTATAATAATTATCACACTGGCTACCATTTATTGAGTGTTTGCTGTGCACCATATGCATTGTCAGGTAGGACTGCCTCGTATGGCCATGCAGACCGAGCTGCACAGCTCTACGTGGGGCCAGTCCCACAGACTGTAATGAGGATGGTGCCACCTGAGGGTGGCAGTGCAGCAGTCCTGTTTGACATGCACTAAATCAGTCCTCACACTGACCCTATGAAGAAGGTACCATTATTAACCCCACTTTGCAAAGAATTTTGTAACTTAGGTTAAGGAACTTTCCCAAGGTTATCTAAGCATTAAGTGACAAGAACAAATGGAAACCATACCCTTTGGGCATATTTTACTGTGGCATTTGAAAAATAACTGATCTCAGGATACAGAATTACTGTAGTCCTCCAGTGGGGGTGGAGGGACAGAGAGGGAGGACACACTTTTATTTTTTAACATCATCTCCAAACCCCCAAATAAAAAAAATGCTTGCTAGAACCCCAGAGCTGAGAATACCACCCGCTGTCTCATTTACTCCTCTTAGCCTCCAGGAAAGGGACAGAAACACAAACAGTCTGGAACGTCTTCTGCCCCTTCCAGATAATTTGAAGTGAATGTAGCAGTGGTAAAATGTATCATATTTACCAGCTTTGGAACCACGTGGTTCATTTATTTACTCAGGACATATGATTGGAATGTGGCAGCAGAAGTTTCTTCTAGGGTCCTGTCAAGGTCAGATGAAGCTGTTTCTTGGATTTTTTATGTGAAAATAAATGCTCATAATTCTGAAAGGAACTTCATGCACTTTTACTCCAACCAACTGGGCCTCATACAGAGTTGGTTGTCTGCTGTCTCTTACTGTAGGACGTTTTGATTATGTTGCAACATATGCCAACATGCCAAGGGGCCTCACAAAGTTGTTTACTTTAAAATAATGAATTTCAGATACTTTTTAAGGAAACATTTTGTAAATCACAAATAAGCCCAATTTCCCATTTGCTAGGCTTTCATGACAGGTTTTGCCAAAACTTGCAGTGGCCGTCTGTAGTCTTTGACATTTAGATTAAGGAAGTGTCCACTGTCACTATGTCAGATCCAAGCCAGCAGGCTGTGTGTGATACTCAACATTTTTCTTATAAAATACTCACTGTGACTGCTCGCTTGTTTAGCTAATTTAATGGCAACCTCAGCTATTGAGCATGCAGCTGAGAGTAAGTCAAGGAGACCTCCAGCTGGACACGATAGCTGTCGTAGGGTTCACTTTACACTTGAAAGAATCATTTCATTTGCTCTTATAGAGGTATAGTTGTATGTATATGTATTATTTGTTTTTTGAGATATAATTCAGATGTCATAAAATTCACTCATTTAAAGTATACAATCAGAGGCTTTTAGTATATTCGCACATTTGTACAAACATCACTACTATCTAATTTCAGAACATTTTCATCACCCAGAAAAGAAACACTATACCCATTAACTGTTAATCCTCATTCTCCCTCCCTCCCCCCAACTCCCAGCCACTGGAAACCACATATTCTGTCTCTATGGATTTGCATTTTCTGGATATTTCATGTAAATGGAGTTAGATAATATGTGATCTTTTGTGACTGGCTTATTTCACTTAGCATAAGTTTTCAGAGTTCATCCATGTTGTAGCATGTATCAGTACTTCATTCCTTTTTATGGCTGAATAACATTGCATTGTATGGAATATTTAATAGCACATTTTACTTACCTTTTCATCAGTTGATGGATATTGGTTTGCTTCTACTTTTTGACTGCTGTGAATAATGCTGCTATGAATATGCATGTATAAGTTTTTGTGTGAATATTTGTTTTCAATATTTCTATTCTCTTGGATATATACACATAAGTGTGGCCTTGCTGGTTCATATGGTATCTCTACGTTTAACATTTGAGAAACTGCCAAACTGTTCCAAAGCAGCTGTACCATTTTACATTCCCACCAGCAATGTATGAGGGTTCCAGTTTCTCCAGATTCTCCTCAACACTTTTTATTGTCGGTTTTTGAAAAAATTATAATCATCTTAGTGGGTACAAAATGGTATCTCATTGAGGTTTTGATTTCCATTTTTCTGATGGCTAATGATGTTGAGCATCTTTAGTGATATTGAGAATTTTCTTTTTAATGCTTATTGGCCATTTGTATATTTTATTTGGAGGATGTCTCTTAAGATTCTTTGCCCATATTTAAATTGAGTTATTTGTTTTTGTATTGTTAAGTTGCAAAGAGTTTTTATATATTCTGGATACAAATCCCTTAACAAATATATGATTTGTAAATATTTTCTCCCATTCTGAGGATTGTCCTTTTACTCTTTTGATGCTGACCTTTGAAGCACAGAAGTTTTTAATTTTGAAGAAATCCAATTTACCTATTTTTCTTTTGTTGCTTGTGTTTTAGATATCATAGGAAATTATTGCTTAATTTCAGGTCAGGAAGATTTACACCCATTTTCCTCTAAGAGTTTTAAGTCTTACATCCATTTCAAGTTAATTTTTGTATGGTGTGAGGTGGGGGTTAAACTTCATTCTTTTGCATGTGGAAATACAATTGTTCGAGCATCATTTGTTGAAAAGACTGTTTTTCCCCTCAAAATTCATACATTGAAGCCCTAACCCCCAGTGACTCAGAATGTGACTATATTGGAGATAGAGCCTTTGAGGCCATTAGGGTGGGCCCTAAAACAACATGACTGGTATCCTTATATGAGAAAGAAATGTGGACACACAGAGAGACACCAGGGATGTGCATATAGAGGGATGACCACGTGAGGAGGCAGCAGGAGGGCAGCCATCTGCAAGCCAAGGAGAGAGGCCTCAGAGGAAACCAACCCTGCTGGTGCCTTGATCTTGGACTTCCAGCCTCCAGAACTGTGAGACAATCCATGTCTCTTATTTAAGCTGCCCATCCATGCAGTCTTTGATATGTTGTTATGCTGTCCTTAACAAACTAATACAGCTGGGATGAGTAAGAGTAGACTCAAGAGCAGTTGATATGCGGGAGCCATTTACCCTGCACAGAATGGGCCCAGGCTAGTGTTTCTGCATTCTCTTCCTCTGGCAGCTGTCAGTGTCTTCTGGTTATGTTCTGTCCCCTTTACTAAACTGACATTGCCTGGAAAAACAGGTACCTATAATAGTTAAAACTGTACCTCTAGTGACATCAATGAAAATGGCAGAGTAAGGGCCTCCCAAAATTGTTGCCTCCATAGAAGGGACTGGCAAAAATGGTAAAACAATTCCCTTATTCAGAATTCTGGAAAGTAGTCAAAGGCTTGCAGCCATCTAGGGAGCATTTATTTAAGAAAAACAGCTGAACCATGATAAGAGTAGTGAGCTTTGTGCTGTTTTTAACTTTCCCCATCCCCGCAGACCCCTGCAGCTCTGCAGTCACCTTGGAAACCTGAAGCTGCAATCATGGTGAAAACCAGCAGCCTGGCAAGTCCCTAGAGGGGGAAGAATGTGGTTGGAACTCCTTCAAAGCTGCATTCCTAGAGAACTGCCATTATTTGGCTCGTCTAGAGGTTCTCTGGGATACCCCGCTTGCAATGCTGTCTTCATTTTACTTGACTTGGTGCTCAGAGTTCACCCGGTGCAAAAAGCCTTGTCCCCAGGGCATTTCTCGAAAACATGAAGAGGCAATTGTTTAACTTCACAACTACCTGAGGCAGGGAATAATGCTTGGGACAAACAACCGGGGAGGCAGAAAGTATAAAAGGAAAACTGGGGAATGGGCATCGTAGCAGTTCTGAGAAGCTCTAAAGTATTCCTGTGACTCCAGAAGGCTGCATGCCCGGGGAGAGCATGCACATGCCTAAGGCTGTGCACATGCTCAGGGACGACCTGAGAAGGCCCTAAGCTCTCCCCTCTGCCTGCCTGGAGGCTCTACACGAGCAGGAAGTGAAGGCTAAGGCAGAGCGCCCAGTGCCTGGCTGAGCGCTGTGTCCCAGGACACAGAGCCCCTCTGCTGATCTGGGGACACTTTCTGGGCCTGGGGGTTTGGGAGATCTCTGTCTAGTCATTAGCCGATCACTCAGCTATCTCAGCAGAGACGTCAGTGACCACACACAACAAGGAGTACAGGCTCTGCAGGGTTCGTTCAGATAAGTCAACAACAACAAAAATAAACCCTGGGGAGTGGAGAGAATCTGATGTCCAGAGTTGCCACATTCTATTGTTTCAAATATCCAGTTTCCAACAAAAAAAGTAAGCTAAAAAATTAAGTTTTTAACGTAGAGGAGTCACTCTGCTCCTCAGACTGTAGTTTTTTCCATACCATTGACCAGTGAAGATTCCAAGAGTGTCCTTTTCCCAGAGTGTCCTTCTGGATTGCTCTGCTTGCTTCCCCGTGTCACTGCATTATTTGTGTCTCCAGTTCCTGTTTCCTATAAACTTAGAATTATATTTGAAGGGTGTATTGGATGTAGTTAAAACAGTTTTGGCGAGAATGCTTTATGAATGGTGCTGGATACTTCGTTCTGTGTCAGGAAGTACAGAATGTCTGGTGGTTTCACTCTTAGTAATGAGCTTGACTGGTGGGTTCAGGTAGTGACAGCTCGACGTAAGGTACATTTTTCCCTTGTGCATTTTTCCCTGTGGGGTGAGAGTTTGGCAGCCTGTAACTGTCACTCTGTGACTCTGGCATTCATTGATGATTGTTGCCCAAACCAGTTATTTCAATAGTGATTTTAAGCTTCTGTCATTGTTTCTACACTTGTAAGTGGAATTCTTCTGCAAAGAAGAGCTTTCCCATGTCAACTAGGGTTGTTTGGTAACCTGTAGTTACAATTTGCATAGGGAAAAACAGGAATCATACTTAATTATATCCTTTTATAATTTTCAGAATAGGGAGTTGATATTGCAACAATTACCTCCAATAGTGGCAAATTAGATTTTTTTTTTGCTTTCCCTTGTTTTGATTATCATCATAAACTTGAGAATTTTTATATATTTATTTATTAGGTTTTAATCAATTGTAATAATTTTTCTTTTTGATGCTCAGATTGTCCCATCTTTGGTCGATGGGATGTCCTTTGAGATGATTCCTTGGGACCTTTGACATGTCATGGAGTTGTTTTTTAAAAGCTGCCTTGTCACTACTCACACACCAGAATAGCTAATGAAAAAGTCAGTCTGATACTAGCAAGTGGTGGTGAGATCATGGGGAACAGGAACTCTAGTACGTTGTTGGTGGGAGTGTAAATTGGTACCATTTTGGAAAAGAGTTTAACTTAAGCTAAAGATACACCTATCCTCTGACTCAGTGACTCCGCTCCTAGGAGTATACCTAAGAGAAATGGTCGCATACATCTGTCAAAAGACAGGTACAGACGTGTACATAGCACCCTTCATAATAGCCCCAAGCTGGAAACTAAGTGCTAATCAACAGGAGAATGGAAAAACATATTGTGATATATTCACACAAGGAGATACCATACAACAATGAGAATGAGCGGACTACAGCTACCTGCCACAACGTGGATGCTTCTCTAATTTGGTTACTTTTCCTGCATAACAAATTGCCTCAAGACTTAGCATTTCAAAACAACCATTTTATTATGCAAATGGTTCTGGGAGTTTGGGCAGGTCTCTGTGGGAATGGCTTGTCTCTCTTCCATGGTGTCTGGGGCCTCAGCTGGGAAAACTTGATAGCTGGGACTCAGTGGCCAGGAAAAATACAGGACACTTAGTTAAAGACAAATTTCAGATAAACGACAAATAATTATGAGACATACTTAAACGAAAAAGTATCCATTTTTTATCTTAAATGCAAATCTAACTGAGTGTTCTGCACTTTTTTCCCCTAAATCTGTTAATCCTAGCTAGGGGTGACTCGACAGCCAGTGTTGGAATTGTCTGGACTCCTCTCACTCACTTCTGGCCATTGGCACTGGCTGCAGCTGGTGCCTCTGCTGGGGCTGTGGAACAGAGCAGACCTACTACACCTGGCCCCTCCATGTGGCCTGGGCTTCCTCGTGGCATGGCGGCCTTTGGATAGTCAGACTTCTGACAGGGAGGCTCAGGGCCCCGTATGCGAGCGTCTCAGCAAACAAGCACTGCCTTTAGCCTTGGAAGTCCTGTGGCATCACTTCTTCTGCCACGAGTCCAAGGGCAGGGGAGGTGGAGTCCACCTCTCAGTGGGGAAGCGTAAGCTCAAGAAGAGCGTGTGGAAAAGGAAGGACTGTTGTGACTATTTGGGAAAGCGGTGTGCCACAAGCAGTGTGAAATACAGGAGGCTGGAATCAAAAGAGCACGTGTGTGTGACGCCGTTCATAGAAATGTCGGGGGTGGGGAAGCTAATCTGTGCTGTTAGAAGTTCAGGATAGCAATTACCCTTGGGGGCGGGGTAGTGGCTGGAAGGGGGCCCGCGGGGTTTTGGGAGTGCTGGTCACATTCTGATTCTTATTCTTGGTGTTGGGTAGAGGGTGTGTGTACTTTATGGAAACCCATCCAGCTGTGTGTTTAGGATTTGTGTACTTGTCTCCACGTGTCCTCTATTCCTGTATGAAGTGGTCCATGAGCCACAGGGTAAATTTGACCACATCACACTTTTAGACAGGGTTTCTGGTGGCTAGCAGTAGTGCAAAACCGTCCCCTTGTCATCACATTGCTTGTTTAGCATGAAAAGTCCTGGGCAGGATCATCTGAGGGGCCAAATCTAAGGCACAAGCCCAGCACTGAGCTCCCAGGGACTTTCCAGACCCCTCTGGCTGGAATGAAGACGCATCCCTGAAATGAGCACAAGCAGAAACTGAAAATGTGTCAGCAGGACACAGCGGGCGCAAAGGAAAGGACAGGAAGATCAGATAGGCTTCACAGGGCCCGGAGGAGAAGCTGGGCTATGTTAGCTGTGGCTGCGCTTGCCACCTCTCTGGGCTCCATGGTGACCCCTTTCCCTCTTTCCTGCTCTTTCTGCAGGCCCTTTGCTTCGGTGTGCATTGGCAGAACATGTGGTTCCATCCAGGTGAGCCTCACTTGTGTGCCCAGCATCATGTACCTTGGGTCGCTAGCTCCCAGTTCCGAATTCCCAGGCGAGAGATGCATCTGGCACAGCTTGGGCCAGGCAGGCATCGCAGCGCAATGAGCAGGGGCCTGGACACCTCGGGGGTCACAAGTCACTGACTCGGCCTGGACCCGTCTCTTCAGGAAGATGAGAAGCCCTCAGGACAAAACTGATTTACTTTTTCTGATTATAGAGTAATTCAGGGCACTGAAGAATTTCAGAAGGTACAGAGAAGTACAAAAAAATGATGGAAAGTCTCCTATGATCTCCTATCTGGAGAGAATTCAGTGTCAATCCATTTCCTTTGTCTGAGATTCTCACCTGCTTTTGGAATGATCATGACCACATATTTTATATATTGCTTTTATACGAAATCTTAAATCATTTTTAATTTTTAAATATTTTAATGTTTAAATAAGTAGTCTAAATATTTTCAGTAACTCATTATTATTTCCTTCCTGTCACGTCTTTTCAGTAAGCCTCATTTTCATACTTCACCCGTGGGCAGTACATCCAGGGGGCACCACCGTTTTATATAACAATTTCCCTAAAGTTGTTCAAGTTTTTTCTTATTATAGAGCACACTGGGATGATTTAGTCACAGTGTGACTAAAATATTGCCTGCATATCCTACTATTTCCACAGGAAAAATTCCCAAAGTAGGAATTTCTGGGTGGGTCAAAAGCAATGAGCATTGTTAAAGTTCTTGATATGAATTGCCCCATTTCTTTGAAGATGGACTGCACCTGTTTTGACTGTTAACAAATGATATCAGGCAGGTGATATTTTAAATGTGAAAGGCCCTAGTTCTCAGCTAGGTGGAAAGACGGCGATGTACATGCATCTTCTGATCCAGACTGACTGTTCCTGTAGGGACAGCTCCTGGAGTTTCTAGAATGTTCCCCACCCTACCACACAGCATCCTCCTTGTGCTTGAGGGCTGTGATTTTCTGCAGGGTTGTGGGCATCTGCGGCTTCCTGGACAATGTCCTTCTCAACTGATTCCAGCGCAGAACCCCATTCACTGTTAGCAGACCGCAGCCTGAGCCCCAACATTATGTAAACATCTCCTGGGGCCATCACAGAATTACCTGACACTCCATTTACCTCCTCGGTACACCAGGGGCTGCTTGGAACACTACCAGGCATAACTGCTTCTGTAGACGGGTCGGCATAGTTAAGATTTAGAACAGATCACTTGATAAACAATTTCACAGAAGCCTCACATTTCTTCTCTACGAGACCTACTTTCTCCCCAGTGTCTCCTGTGGAAATGATTTCACTGGCCTCTTTCAGAAAGGAAAAGTCGCTGGCCTTCTGCTGGAGTCTGTGTCAGGAGATTAGATTTCAGGGGAAATGAGCCCCGGGCACTGAGGGGCTGAGGCCTCCTGTCTGTCTCTCTCTCTGTCTGCCTCTCCCTGATGGGACCTCCTTGCTCTGCACCATCACCTGTGAGGAATCGAGGCATCCTGCCTCCCTCCGTGGACTGGCTGCCCAGCAGTGTGTGCTGAGTGGATCAATGCATGCAGGCCTGAATGAGCCAAGGCTGCAGGAGGGGTAGGGTTAGGGGGCCAGCACCGGCTCGGGGGCTCCTGGCTCTCCATGTCCATTGTCTCATCCATCTTGAAGGTGACCAGGGTCCGGAGGAGGACGGAAACGTGGCACGGAGGTCATGGTGTATTTGGAACAATGCTAACGTGTTCGTCTTTCCCTTTTGCCTTTCTGAGTCCGCGGCCTTCTCTCTGAGGGGCTGTCTGGGGGGAGATTAGGATTAGTGCAGAAAGTACCCAAACAGAAGAGATGGTTATATTTGTGTTCTGATACACAAATAGACGTGTGCAGTGAGACAGTTGGCTCGAAAGCCGGGCACTGTGGAGTGGATTTTCTGAGTTCATTTAGCTCCTGTGTAACAGATCCAGGCCCATCTGGTAGCCGAGAACCTACTCCGTGTAGGGGGACACCTTCTATCTGTGAGGGCCTGAGTCTTCATGTTCAGTCTAGTTTTATTTGAAAGCAGCTGTCCCACTTTGCAAGCCCTGGAAGTTGGCAGAGAGGAGAGAGACGAGGGAGAGGTGGGTGATGAGATACGTGTCCAGCCCCCCGGGAGGTACATGGAGGGGCCTGAGTGCAGGGCTGTCTTGTGGAGTGGGCCCAGTGCAGTGATGAGGTGGGCATGCCTCAGGCAGTATGAGGGTCTCCTCTGTACAGCTGAGCTTTCCTGGGGTTTCATAGGGGAGTTGAAAGCCAGCAAGCCCAGGGCCAAGGTGATCCTACATCAGAGGGGGCTGGACGGACAGCTTGGGACAAATGCTTGATGGAAGATGTGGGACAGAGTGTCTAAGGCCTGAGGGGCAGTGAGAGCTGAGGTGAGGCAGGTGGAGGGAACTGGGGCATTACTGGGCCCTGAGCAAGGCGGGAGGTGAGGGGAAGTGGTGGGAGAGGGGGAGGAAAAGAGAGGGAGAGAGAGGGACAGGGAGGGGTAGGAGGAGGAGAGAGAGATAGGGAGAGGTGGGAAGGGGAGAGGCAGAGAGCATGAGGGAGAGGAGGGCAGGAGCTGTCTGGCCTGCAGCTCCAGCCGGGGCTCAGACAGCCAAGGGCGTGCATCACCCTGAGGGCAGAGGCATGGGAGGAACCACAGCTCTGCCGATGCCTTCCCTCCGTGCCTGCCGAGCCATCCCTGGTGGGGCGGGCACGGCAACCTGGGTGGCTGAGAGTCTCTGCCTAAAGAGGCTGAGCACAGAGGAATTGTTGAAAGCTCCGGTTCAGATGAAAACCACGCGACTATCCAAATGGACCCCCAACACCCCCCCCCACATACACACACACGGGCTGGGGCTCCTGCAGGAGCCTGCATCAACTCTAGAGAGAAAGGTTAAGGATGACATTTTCTCAGCGTTTTTGGGTGATTCCCAGTTCAGGCTGTGGCAAAGAGTTGATGGCGTTTAGAGAAGAAAGAGCAGACACAGAGATATGTGCTCAGACTCCCTGGATGGAGCGGGTTAGCGGCCAGCCTCCAGCTGTGAGCGCCTTCAGGGGGGCCTCAGCTTCTGAGCCAAGGTCATGGTCTCCTGGGCAGCCCCAGCCAGTCACTGGGAAGCCTGTGGTTCGAGGGCCTCTCATTTCTGCCTGACTTGGGGATCCTCTGCTGGGTCCGCATGGAAAGTGAGGGCTCCCCTGCCCAATCCCAGGTGTTACCTACCATAAACCTTTTGCACACTCCTGACTGTTTCAGCGTTGGCTTCCTGGAATCTTGGGAGACCCAACTCACACAATCATAGTAAGTGTTAGCTACATTGTTCGCGGCAGAACTGGCCCCAAGCCTGTTGGGTCTGAGGTCAGGGTTCCTTGTTGCCTCCTTGGCTGTCCCCTTCAAGGTGAGGGTTGGGACAAAGTCAAAGAGAGACACTCTAATGAAGAATCTAGTGTTGGAATTAGGAGCTCAGGTTTTGGAGTCAGAGGCCCGACTTCAAATCCAGGTCTCTGATGCCCTGCGGCATGTGGGCGGGTTACTGAGCCTGAGTCACGATGCCCCGAACCGTGAAGTGAGGATGACGGAATCGGCTCTCCCCACTGCCGTGAGAATGCCACGGGCGAAAGTGTGCACAACACTCAGCACGCCACTGCTTTCTTCTGGGGAGTGTAGCTCCCCTGAGGGCCCCCCAATTATGCCCCTGAGTTTGTTAAAAGCAGTTCTTTATTAGCACAAGCCCAGTGGAAATTAATGCGAGGCTAAAAGAAACCAAAAATTAGGATATGAGCGAGAAAGGAAAATCAAGGTCATTAACTTGCTTTGCCAGTCTTCTCCTGTTTCCTACTAGGTTTAACAGAATCATCGCTTTACACATCAACCCAGGTCTGAGAATTTGAACCCATCTCGCTCCTCTGTTGTCATGACGTCCACCTGCAATACTGACCTCTTCAATGTCTTCTGGGCCCTTTCCCCGCCATCACTGCCCTTGTTTGGGCATACGGTCCCCTTCAAGGACCAATGCTTCACTCAGCAAGTGCCCTTTATCACTCCCAGATGGCCCCATCCAATCCACCCTCCACAGGCTTCTAAAGCTCTTTGGTCTGTTGCTCAATTGTCCTTGATGGCGTCTGTCTTCAGTTATGATTAAGTTTGGCTGCTTATTACAGAAAACCCCAAATAATAGCAGCTTAGACATGATAAAATTTCATTTCTCTCACTTTCAAGAAGTCTGGAAGTGGCCATTCCAGGGCCACTGCCATGCTCTATGGTTTCAGAGACCCAGTTTCCTTCTGTGTTATTGCTCTGTCGTGTGTGGCTTTCACTTATCCCCAAGGTCACCTCATCATCCAATATGGCTGCTCAAGTGCCAGCCACATATCTACATTCTAGCTAGCAGGAAGGAAGAAGGGATAAAGGTCACAATTCCATCCTCTAAAGACCCTTTCTAGAAATTGCACATGCAACTTCCACTTATATCTCATAGGCCAGAATTTAGTCTGTTGTCTCACATAGCTGCAAGGGAGGCTGGGGCATATATATCTTATGTTGAGTAAAGTACACATATTTAAGTGTGCAGCTCGATAAATGTGTACATATGTCTATACCTGAGTCAGCACAACCAGGACCAAGACAGCAAGAACCTTTCAGTGCCTCAGCAGACTCCCTTGTGTGGCTCCCAGTTTTGAGACCTCCCCTGGGTCACCCCTATCCTGACCTCCTGCTGTAGATGACTTTCACCTGTTTTGGACCTTTGAATACATCGAAACATTCAGTGTGGAATTTTTGTATCTGTCTGCTTTCACTCAGCCTTACGTCTATGAGATTCATCCATCTTGTTGCATGAGGCAATAATTTGATCTTTTTTAATGCTCTGTAGTATTCCACCACAATTTACCCATTCTCTTGTTGATGGACATTTGGGCTGTTTCCAATTTTTGGCTATTTTTAATGAAGCTTCTGTGAACATTTGAGTACATGTCTTTTGGTGGATTCTCTTGGGTATTTATCCAGGAGCAGAATTGCTGAAGGATGTGAAACCATTATTCAGATGGCCACGTATTCAGCTGAAATCCTCAGCGTTCTGTTATTATGGAAGAAGGGGAGAAGGAACATTGGGAGCAAACCAGTAATTCCATGGTGCCGCACTGTCTACACAAGGAAACCAAGCCATCCTGGCGTTCAAACACACAGCTCTCTACCAATAGCTCTGCACCTGCCTCTCCAGCCTTAGCTTTCACTCTGCTCTGCCCTGCCCTCTCCCTGTTGTGTCAGATACTTTCCTGCCTGTGGGTCTTTCTCACACTCCTCCACCGGCCTGGGATGCATCCTCCTCCTCTCTTCCCCACCCTGCAGACTTGCCCCTGCTCACCTGAATCCCACTCAGCCTCAAAGTGTAGCACAGGTGTTACCACCTACAGGCAGCCTCCCCCGTGCCCCAGGGTGGGACCGATTTCTTTATACCGTCTGCTTCTGTGGCGTGTTCTACCTTGGCAAATCCATGGAGCACATTTGCCTTGTTGTAATCATCTCATGCATCCCAGAATTTGGAATGGGCAGGATCCCGGAGGTCCTGAAAGCCCACAGGAGCTTGCCTAATTACTCCCAAGGTGGCTGACCTTGCATTTCATTGAGCTCTCTGGGTCTTTATCTTCCCTTGTCAGTGCTCTCCTTTCTCTCTACTTCCCTCCTGATCCATCGTTTCAATAAATAAGAACTAACGCCCTTGCACCTTTATCTTTCAAAGCACGCATCCGGCACACTCTCAATGGTGGACGAATCCAGCCATCTGCTTTCTCCCCACTGGCCCACAGAGCTGAACGTTACCAGGCAGATTGGATCCACCCAGTCTCAGATGGCCCCAATCTCAGCACTGCCCAGAATGTCTGCCTCTGGTAGATTTACACTTCCACTCTCTGCAGTGATTATTTTTTTCCTTTTTTAAATACGAGAGCATAATTTACATAATCAAAATTTACCTTTTTTCATGTACAGGTCTGACAAAATTTGACAAATGCATACAGTCATGCACATACCACCACAATCAAGATACAGAAGAGTTCCATCACCCAACTTCCTGGGCCCCTTTGTGGTTAGCCCTCCCCCCCACCCCCCAGCAACCATGGATATGTTTTTGGTTCCTTACAGTTATACCTTTCCCAGTATGTTGTAGAGATGGGATCATGGGTATGTTTTCCGTTCCCTACATTCTTACCTGTCCCAGGATGCCATGTAAATGGGATCATCTGCTGTAGACCTGCTGGGCATTGACTTCTTTCACTCAGGATAATGCCTTTGAAATTCATCATGTTGCACTTCTCTGTAGTTTGTTCCTGTTTATGGCAGAGTAGTATTCCACTGTATGATGCATCACAGTTTATTTATTCATTCACCAGGTGAAGGCTATTTGGGCAGCTTCCAGTTTTTGGTAATTAGGAGAAAAATCACTTTAAACATTGGTGTACAGGTTTTTGTGTGAAACTAAGTTTTCACTTCTCTTGGGTAAATATCTGAGCGTGAGATTGCTGGCTCATAGGTTTCACTGCAAAACTCTTTTCCGGAGTGGCTATGCCCGTTTGCATCCCCACCAATGATGGGGGAGAGTTCCCATCGCTCTGCATTCTCACCAGCAGTTGGTGGCGTCAGGTTTGTTATTTTTAATTTTAGTTATTCCAGTATGGTATGTTATTGTGGTTTTAAATTAAATTTTCCTAATGACTGATCATGTTGACCATCTTTTCATGTGCTTATTTGCTATCCATGTATCTTTTTTGGTGACATATATTTTCAAATCTTATGCCTATTAAAAAAATTGAGTTGTTGTTTTCTTACTATTGAGTTTGGAGAGTTCTTTGTGCCTGTGGGTTAGAGATCCCTCATCAGATATATGTATGATAGGTAATTATTTTCTCCTAGTCTTTGGCCTGTCTTTTCATTCTCCAAGCAGTGACTTCTGAAGAGCATAAGTTCTTCATTTTGAGGAAGTGCAATTTGCCAATTTTTTCTTTTATGGATTGTGCTTTTGCTGTCATATCTAAGAAATTTTTGTCTAATGAAAGGTCCCAAAGATTCTCTCCTGTATTTTGTTCTAGAACTTGCATAGTTTTAGCTCTTACACTTAAATCTTTGATCTGTCTTGAGTTAATTTTTGGTTACGTGTAAAGTCAGTGACTTTATTCTTTAATTTAGTTTATTTTTATGCAAGTAATACATACATAGGTTTGAAAAGACCACATGTCTTAAAATGAAAGGCAGCGATCCCATGCCCTGTCTAGCTCCACCTCCACCTCCACTCCTCAAAGGCACCTACTAGCAACTCACTTAATTTTGTCCTCGGAACTTATCTCCGTGTAACATACTTGTACTGCTAATTCTTGGTTATTAACTTTAGGTGCCTTCTGCCGACTTCCTACCATTGAAGATCAGGTTCAATTTCTTACACCT